TCGATGTTCCCTTTCTCTCTTATTATTTCGCGTACTGTTTTGCTTTCGGCGTCGAGCTTTCCCGGTCATGTCGTTTTCTTTTCCACTATCTTAGCCGCCCTTCCCCCTCTCCGCCCCGTCCCCATCGCTCGACACTCCCAGAGGAATTGGAGTTCTTAGTACTCGATCGTACACTTATAGCGACTGACAGACCCCTTCGTCTAAAACTAAATGTCCTACTAAGAGCTCCCTACATTTCGCTCCGACATCTTGGGTCAAGTGTCGATTTCCGATAGTTGCGAGGTAGACTAGAGAACGTCCGTGCAACTCGCTCGATTGGACTGGCTGTTGCATCAACTCATTAAGTAAAAAGTATATGTGGGTGCAAAAAAAGGACGTTGGGAAAAAGTATCGTTGAAAGATATCCATTAATATTATTTAGTTTAATTTTTACTTTTTATCAAAACGAAAGTTTGCTTGTCGAGTTTGCAGACTCGAAATTGAAGTATCTCTTAATGCTTTTTTTTTTTCAACGAGAATGTAATCGAACGCTAGCAATTTTTAATTAATTATAGTTGATCAAATTATTTAATTTAATTTTTAATTATAATAAAATATTTCATACTTTATAATCGAATATGATGTATTTAGAACAGTAACATTATGGAAATATCTCCCAAAAAGTAGTCTAGTTTTTAACTCTAGCTTATTTGAAAATCTACGTAAAATTTCTGAAGCATTTATAGCGATGTGGGAGCAACTCGCGAAAAGTTCAGAATTGCTTCTTGCTGAATAGCCGGTGCTTAAGGAGAAAAAAAAAGGAAATAAAACGAGTGTAAAGTGGGGCAAACGGGAGAAAACGAGAATGAAGTTAGTGGATGTCACGAGAGAGACGTCCGTCTAAGACGTCCTTGGGGCCTCCATGCGGCTGTCAAGGCGAGCGGAAAGCGAACGTAATTGTCATTGAAGTGAGAGTCGACCATCCGAGGCGCACGAGCGAATGCGCGATGATTCATTTATGAGCGACGCATGAATAAACGATCGTACGCGTGGTAAGCCGCATTCATTTGCCGAATGCGGCAGTCGGCGGAGGAAGAAAAAAAAAGGAGACGAATGCATCGTCGCAGTCGCGTCGACTCGGAAGTGCAAGTTTTCGGTCGGCGTTGTAGAACAAAAAAATCGGCGGGATTGAGTGTACAGAGAGCCTTAAGCTAAAACCCTTTAAATACGGTATGTACGAGGTGATGTTGCGGTGCAGAATTCGCGATACGCTCTTTGCCACGTACGAGATGTAACGGAGATAATAATTCAACAACCCGTACAATGCAATGGGATTCTGCAATCGCTCGCGCCGCGAATTAGAGCGCTCCGATGTAAAGTGTACCGAGGTTACTCAGGCAGATCAGTTAGGATTCTCCGTCCCGTGAATACGAAGCCGTGGATACATATTTCAACATGTGCGAAATAATATAATTCGCCGAGTATCACTCGATCCGTATTTCACTATTTCGGCACGTCCGCGTATCGGGAGTATCTCGCGGACCGAGATACACAAGAGCACAAATACAGATGTTACGTGTACAGTGGAGGAGGAAATACGAAGACGGGGATTCTGGGAATTCTCGGAGTCTCCCTCGATGTGGAGCCTTTACTCTTATATACGAATCTCGGTTGTACCGGGCGCCACGAGCGTACTTCGGCGAGAGCACTGAGGTGCTCTCGAAAACTCAACGGGCGCGCTCATCGTCCGATCGGAATTGAATCTGAATAAGCATTTGAATAAGTATTGGAGGGAGAGCTTCTCTGTCATAGAAATAGTTTTCTACCGCTCCTCGTATATATCCCCTCGCCCTCGAGTTTTCTTCATATCTGCCCACTGGATCGATCGGCGTTTGCATTCAGGCCATTCATTCTCTCGCACGATTCCTAAGAGATATTGCTCGCGATAAGTACCAAATGATTAATAATTATGTCGTCATCGATCACTTCTGAGAGCTTGTCTCTAATCTAAGATATATTGAATTCCGAATGTATTCTGTAATTTTTCAGCGCGCGATTTACTCGCACCGACCTTTTTCTTTTCAAATTTCTTCCAAAATTTTTAGTCACTGGTATTCCAGATGCTTGTATACCTCGTGACAGATAATCATGGAATAAGCGTGGACTTAATGTTGATGACTAAAAGGTACCTAAAGCTAATACTTTCTTTTGTGTATAAAAAGAAAACAGCGATCGATCGAAGGCATCAATACAGTCGAAAGAGATATGAGTTTCTGATATGTACGTATAAACATAAAGAATAATGGAAGGATGATTTTAGGAAAAAGCGAGTCTCCGATGACGGGAATTTGATATGTTAAAACACAGAGAGTAATGGATATTTAAATAAGCGAATAGTGACAATATATGTATATGTAAGACAAACGGACGCGGGTCTGTAGCACGGGTTAATGGCAGTTGATGGCCAAAGGCAAAACGATATAAAAGCGGACGACTCGTGATGCGTGAGAGTCGAAGGAAGTGAGTCCCTTATCAGGGAGTTGCGTAGTATCCTCGTCGTTCTCGATCCATAGTATTCGTAACGGCTCTTAATACCCTTCCGCGGGTGCGATATGCAAACGTAACCCACATTCGGCAGTACGTAAATATTTATCGTCCCGGATCCTACATTGCTCGCAAACTTAATGAACTGCCATGCTAATCTAGTCACGGTGTAATGAGAACCCCGTTCCGCAGTCATTGTTCTGTCGCGAAAGTTGTTAGTTCGACGTATTAACGTCGTCCGTAACTCCGGATGGGGAAACTGGTGTGATTACAACTAAACGGTGTAAGCGAACGGAAAAGGGACGGATACAGACGGATATCGTTGTAACGGTTGAACGTATACGCTGACAGATTGTCAAAAGTTTTTATTATTTATTATAAAGTCAAGTAAATTTTAACTGAAATTGAATTCACGATTTAACTTGCGAGAGAGTTAATGCTGAAAAGCGAAATTTCGCGACGGAAGAATTTATTTTGCTTAAAATCTTTTGTGCTCATGCAAAAAACAGTTTCAAGTTGAAATCTGTAATTAAATGGACATTTTTATGAGTCCATGATGCAATAAACAGTGGCGTAAAAGGATGGCAAGCACCTTTGAGGGGATAACATTTAATTTGCTACCAATTTTACGACGACTACGTAGCTACGAAGAACGAACAGCATCGATGTCGGTCCGCGGCGATCTTAATCGTTTGCTTTACGAGCTCGTAAAATATGGCACTAAGTTCTATTGCGGGCGCTAAACAGCGAGAAGTCACTCGTTCGCCGGTCATACCGAAGTTCTTGTCGGTTACGTAATTGGGCAAAGCTTTACAAAGTTAGCGTGAGACTATTCCCCCGTGAAGTTCAGGTCAAGCTTGAAATTGCATTGCGTTCACAGATGCATAGCGAAGAATAATAGAGAAGAAGGTAGGTGGATGTAATACCAAGAGAGACAGAATATGAAATAATAAAGGTGAAATTTATAAGACCTCGAGATGTAGTTCTTTTGACTTACTTCCTTTGATAAAATATTAATTTTGAAAGTGATCGTTATATAATATGCTGTATGTAATTGTGAAATGAATATGAATATATTTTTTCTAAGAGTCCTGTTTTTATAAATTACGTCTGATGTTTCGTCTTCTCATGGAGTCTCTCATTTAATAAAACGTTATTTATTAATCGATTAATGCATTAAATGAAAATGATTAAATTATATAGTTTATATGATTTGATAATAAAAAAATACTATTTCCGTCTATGATATCTGTAGAGTTAAAGTTATACTCGCGAAGGCCACGCTCCGCAAAACATCTCTCTCTGTTTTCCATTTCAAGAAATCCAACAGACGCGAATCGTTTTATTTATCTGTCAAATTAATCAACTGTAATCAACAAATGAAAATGTACTTTATAACTTTTTTACAACAAAACGAAAAGGAAATCGATGCTCGCGATTCCGAGAGGTGTCGACGTTGCGGCGTTTGAAGACGATGCGAAAATGGAAAATCGACTCTCGAGTACCGACCTGGCACGTTGCCAATCTCGTCAACAAGCGAAGATACTGCCGTGGGTGGTCCTCTTAATTAACTTGTTTCGCCGCGCACTTGAATGCGTGCGGAAGACTACGTGACAACGTTCAACAAATCTGTGCGCGCTTAGACCTCTTACGCGTCGCGTTAAGTCGCCGGGTCTGCCGTTTAATTCCCCGTTTCCTCGCCTCAAATTGATCGCGTATTGAAAATATAAAGAGCTCTTTGTCGTCAGAGAACGCAAAAAAGGCATCAATTTGTCGCCGTGATTATTTTGCTTGTGTGCCTTCGAATTGTTGTTTTAAAAATTAATATTTGTATAGCTCTCTTTTTTTTATTATTTCGCCAAAATATAAATTTTAAAATTTCCAACAATTATTAAACAATTTCACACAGTTACATGCATATATGTGTATATATTACAGATAGAGAGAAAAATCATGATTTTAATCTGAATATTTCATAGAGGAGAGATATTGCTTCGGAAATTCATTTATTTAATTCAAAATGTGAATTTATTCGCTTATCAGTCAGGCTGTTCTTTAATAGAAGAAATCAATAAAAGGGATATCAATCAATTCAACAGAACAAAGTCACGACAGGCTAGCGATTTATGTGTGTATGTGTGTGAGCCATATATTCTAGAGCGGTCAAATTTTGAAATTTTTATTGTCCTATAAAAATTTGAAAAATCTTTTAGTACTGCGTCGTATTGTGCACGTATTATATTTCCATATATCTGTTCTTTATATAAATATAAGAGATTTCACTGTCAAAAAAAAAATCATACGTAAGATCTATCGGATAAATTAGATCTGCTCGACATGTTGCGTTATCAAAACTTATGTTGTACTCAAGGCACACTTTTTCATCAGCTATTATACACTACAGATAAATAATACTTCTGAGATGTTTCATAATCTAATCTAATCTAATCTCTGATTGCGATTGGTTTGTTTTCTAGATCGTCACGTCGTTCAGGAGTCATGGCCTTCTGTTTTGTGAGAACGGAACAAATTTCGTGTAGCTTGAACTGAGCGCCGTGCTGCTTGGATTTGTGCGAGGATTACTGGTCTCGGAAAATTTCTTCGGGCAGAAAAAGAGAAGAAGGAAGCCTCTGAAGGAAGAAACGCATAAGGACCCGAAGAAATAAAAGGCGGAGATAAACGTAAGTTAGTCTTTTATGTTTAGCATTGTTATTAACTGTCCCATAGACAATACGATTGTTTATCCGAGAGATGTATGAAACGCAATTGAAAGAGCGTATAATAGAGCGAGCGTGATACCGCAATATTTTCCACTGACAAAACATACTTTTGTTTCCTTCATTTTCGATTGATATAAGATATAAGCATATTTCTTGACACAAGCACGTCTCATCTTTTTTTTCTGCGAGATAATCTTAATAAGAAGAAAAATTTGAGTACAGACTGCTTTATAGGCAAAAGAAACAAAAAAATCATTTCCGACGAGCAAGTCGTAACGGGATATATTAATTAGCAAATCGTTCCGCCCGGGGTTTTCTATCCCCGTTGCAGATTATTTAAATATCAAAAATTTTTATCGCTCGTTATCCAATTGGTTCACGGGATGAGCGCGTTTTCGCTTGAAGTGCCTTCTAAGAGATTTCTCGGTTATCCCGGTGAGTCTCCACGATTCGTTCCACCATAATGGACTACCTCCGCAGGATCGCACCCGCGGGATTTATACGGGGGTGGCACGCGGTACATACCGGTATTTACCAGTTCGCTTAGTTCCTCGTGGAAGTGTCGCTGAGCCAAATGGAGAGCTCGCCGGTGATCTAAAAATAGTTTCCGTCCGACAGAAAGTGCCTCGTATATCCTTTACGATAAAGGACGAAGGTAGATCCTCGTCAGGCGATAGTTGCTTGGTTAGGAAGATGTGCGAGAAATGTGACAAGGTGATAATTTCTGTCATTGCGATTCGAAAAAAGGCCAGTTATTCATAAATGTAGATGTATTGAAAATGTAGAATGGGTTTGCAACAAAATTAATTTATTCAATCAAATCCCGCGTAGATCTATCGTTCATCTAGCACGATGAAGCACAATGAAAAATATATCCGATGTTAATGATATTAAATGAGTCTTTTTCTATTGAATAATGAATAATAATGTATTGCTAGATAAACATGTTTGCCCGTAAAGTAACCGTAAAGTTGAAGTAAGAAATAATTTATAATTAATTACGTTTTATTTTAATTATATATTTATTCAAAAAACATCTTTGAATCATTTAAGATTTAGATTTGATAGCAAATGAGCTATGGATTAGTGCAATATTTAATAAATTCGAGAGATCATATTTTTGAAAATTTATCCTACATTTTGTGTACGTCGCTAGACGCGACGTTAACGAAATAGTCGTTAAAAATACATTGCTTTTAAAAATATGCCAGAACTATTGCTAATTGTATTGTCCTTAAAAACAGTAAAGTGTCTCCATAAGTCAACACTCATATCTTAATCGTTGTTTTTATCTTGAAAAATTCCGCGACTTACTTGGGACGTCAACGGCTTTTACTATTCGCAATAGACTTAGTAAATATTTATAATTTTCTTCGTTTTTTTTTAAATATTCTACAATTGTTGTCATTTTAAAAATAACATGACGTTATTGTCAGTGCGAAATAACTGTGGTAAAAAAAACTTTTTAGCATACGTTTCGTTTATTCATATATTTTTGATAGATCGTGACTCCTCTACTTTCTTGTCGACATCAATCAGCGATACGTTTTTTCTGTGTTTTTAGATATTGTACTAAATCATGTTTATTAAAATAACTGCTGCGCGTGTCATTTAGTTATCGCCGGAATATATTGGACTTTGTTTACGACGAATGAAAATTGACTGTAATTGACTGTGTAATGTAAATTGGTTGCGTCACACGACAAGTGCGCGGCGCGTGGGTAACATGTTACATAAATTATTGGAGATCAATATTTCTTGCGGAGCGAGACGGCATGATTGCGTTTTTTTTTTCCTCAGTTTTTATCATGACGACTCAAAGTCTGCGTGAACCGATATCTACTATCTCAAGGTGTCACCTATTTTTGCATCTGCATAGTCGATGAGTAATGCATTTCAAATCGCTCAAGCGTGCTGCAATATTTACAAAATATTGCAGCATGCTTGAGCACGGTTTACTGGAACGATGGGAATATCCTCCGTGATTGGGGTGAAACTCTGCGGGTTTATGGAACACTCAAGTCATGAATATGTTTATGTATTGTTCGTGGTTCATCGCTTTTCGAAAAATACGGTATCTCAGATCCGAAAAGATCGTTATAGTTCTCCTATGCCTTGATTCTAGATCGAGCAAAAATGTTTTGAATAAAAAACATTTACATACTTGGTAAATTATAATAATATTATGCAATGAACGATATCTCGATCAAAATATTAGAAACATTTATTCCGTGAGAGAGAAAGTTTTCAGAAAATCTCTTAATTACATAAATTTCTATCATTCAAATTATATTGAGAAGCTTTTATTCTAAAAATATTTTTCTTCATTCTTTTTTATCTGAAATGATCGAAGAGTTTGTTGAAGAATCGAGATTGTGGTACCAACAGTGTTCGTAATAAAATAAAAATCGCAGACGCGACATTTTTCCAATGTTGAAGAAAAACAGCTTCCTGACACTTAGCGCGTTTGAAATTTTCTGCTTTCAATTATGAATGCCTGTTGAAACAGTGCGAGATCGCTCTGGTTGGCAGCCGGTGCGATGTAAAAGTGGCCTGCGGGGCTTTTACTCCGTTAATTGATACCTAGCCACTGTCAAGTAATGAATTCAATCCTCATTAACGCGTTCGAAAGGGAGACTCTCCAGGGATATCCTTTACTGACAATCTGCCGATTCATTACTGACGTCCTTTTGTTCCTTATTCGTGCCAATGTCCTACTACATTATCTTCTATTCGTTATTATAGATTTCTCTGTCAGAAATTCAACCAATTTCTGCACTTTATATCGGTATTATGGCAGACATTATGCGGAAAGATATAATATTCCTTTAATGTTACAAAGAAGAGAAAGTCGTTATCTTTACAACTTTTTTTCTTCAGTTTAAAATTTGTCTTTATCTTTTTATTCTCGGTGTAGTTTTATGTGACTAGCTATGTAATTAAATTTAAGTAAATATTTAAATTAGTAATTTTAATAAGTTTTACGTATTTTGTTAGAGACTTAAACAAAAAATTAATATCTAAACACTGTAATATGAAATCATTTAAATCAATTTCCTTTGAGAAAGAACGGGGAAATACGGCATCTGTCGCATTTTTAATACTTAAACTTGGTAATCAAGCTTAGCATCAAATGTTGCTGAAGAAAGTTTACAGCATGGATATTAATAGCAGAATATTAAACATTCTTATAAAGTAACAAAAAAAATCCGTTTCAATATTTTCAGTGTTAAGGAACTTAAATTTTTACCGAAGAAAAATCGTTGTTAAATTCATGAAATAATTTATCTTTAATGAGATGGATTTCCTCATATTTCCTCTTTAGGATAAAAGCTTCCTTTACATGTGGTAATCGAACGCCAATAGAACGGCAGAGGAAGCGTAGTTCGTATTTTCTCGAAAATTCTCTTGGGCAAACTTCGTCTATTTTGAACTTTTCTCTTTGCTTGCATGGTTTACTTGTATTGCACGTATACCCATACACACTCATCCACAGTTACACTGACAAGAAATAGTACACTGAGACAGTTTCTTTCTCCTGTAGTTTTATCCATTTAAGTTTATGGTTTCAAGTTATAATATATAAAGCTTCGTACATGTATTTATATGTATATGTATGATATATGTATATTATGTGTGTCTATTTATTTTTGTGTGCGTGTGTGTGTGTGTGTGTGCGCGCGCGCGCGCGCGCGCATATGTGTGCATATGCCATATCGGTTTTATCCGATTGATGCAACTAAATTGGACAATCGCAATCTCCTGAAACTTATGAGATTTTATACACACATACACACATGCGCGCGTATATTATTCTTTTGTCATCAAATTGATTTCTACAACTGGACAAGAAGCAAGCAGCGAAATCGATCGCTCGCTAGAGTTTAATATCGCGGAAGTAAGAAAACTATTTTTACATTTGATATAAACGTAAAGCTCAAGAGAACAGCTGAGAACAAAAAATTTTGCTTTACTCCTTCGTATATTTTTGTTTTTTTACTAACGAGCTTAGAGTAAAATATATTTGCTGAAAAATTTATATATGTCACGAGAGCACCGTACAATACTTCAATAACATATTCCGGAGATTAATTAGAGCCGAAAATTTTAACATCGAAAATGTCGAGGTCACAAAACAGTTTTCGAATTACATGCGGTCAAAAGGTAGAGTTGACGCGCTCAGGCCCATTAATGTTTAAATTAATATTCAACCCTCCCTCCCCCCCCCCGCTCACATGTGTATCGATCCGTCATCTGTTATTAATTTTCGTAGCTTGGGTGATTAATTGCTCGGCTAAAAAGAATTATCAAGTTTAAATTGGAAAAATAAAGTTAGTTTTTATTTCGCGCGGAAGAGACAAACTCCAGTTCTCGTTATTATTCCGCTCCGGATGTGCGCCGTATCCGGTGCGAAATTGCGTGATTCCGGGAAATCGATTTGAGAAACGAAAAAAATATTCGCCGTTCGTTATATTGCATATACGTTAAATATTACCTATTTTCACTGAACGGTATTTTCACTGAAAGTACATTGAACGCTCGGCGCGTGGTCGGCGTTGTGTTTACATTGCTTTGTAATCCGCGCGCGGCGAGACTCGAGTAGGTACATATGCAGCGGCGCGAGGCCGCGTTGCGTAGGTCGCATTACCCTTCGGAACGCGAGTGCGACAAGTGTCGGGAGACGCGACAAGCCCGCGGATCTGTCGTTATACGATCGTTGCGACGGATGAACGATTATCAGCACTCACGATAAGCTTTCGCGAACGACAACATATCAAAGACTCATCAAGATATCGGGATGTCGGCTGATTGTCGAGGCTGATATTCCGCGCGGTCTATTCACTTAAGACGGAAGGCGACGGACGGGAATCGTAGAATGTCATTTCATCGCGACGGATGATTTCTCCGATAACGTTGCTTGGATTCGTACATCGAAATTTCTGTCAATTCGCATGTGTAAT